TCACCCTTGATCTTAGCCTTCAGTTTGTAACAACAATTTGTTTCCTAGTCTGTAGGTCCATTTGTTAAACACAATCATATCGTTGGTTATGTTTGTTATTATTTCTGCCCATCTGTTTGTAACAGTATCATGTATTTATTGGCTTCAAGCCCTCATTAATCACACAACAGTTTCCAATATTCATTTACATTTCATACGTTTCTGTATTTACCATTAAGTTAACCCCAGTGACTTGTGTCTCTCACACTTTAAATGAATTATTTTAACTAAAATTAATAGAGATGTTATGGAAAATTCATAGCTTAATTATTGGGGACACATAATAAATTTAGTTAAGCTCTTCTAAAGTATCTATATGAAGCATTGAACCAATCCAATTAATCCTAATTCGCAAGGCTAATGTACTTTTTATTGGAAAAAAAATAAGTACATGACTTCTTATCGTTGATCTCTTTTATATATAATCTATATCTAATTTATTAATTATGTGAGTCATTAAAATAAGATAAATCAATAACAAAAAGTAAGTATAAGACTTCTTATATTTATATTATGTAAGCTGATCCTGCCATACATACATATAATTTAAACGCGACTCTCTAACACAACTTATTACTCTTGTGTGCTGTAAATTGACAAGCTGGCATTTAATTAATTTGCACCATTGAGTTATTTTGGCATAAACTTTCCGGGGGAGTATATGCATTGCACCATTCTCCTCAAATACGAATACAAAACTCTTCAACTATTTTTTTACAATTTAATACTTGCATTTAAAAGCTACATACGAAGATAGGGAAGCGGTCATTAATTGATTAATTCTTATATCTCGTATTAAGATGGAACTCATTGGTTTGTCTGTTAGATGCAATTCATAGAATGAGACAAAAATGCACTTGTGTAAATTCGAATGACTTTCCACCGCCTCCATATTCAACACACACAAACAAAAACGGACAATTTTTATTTTCAAATTAAGGCACAACAGCAATTCCCTCGACTTTTTCCTTTTATTGCATTAATTAATCTTATTTGCAGCCACTATCATATAAATGAAAAGAAAAAGGCCTTTTTTTAATACATAATGAAATAAAAAGACAAACACAAAAACTAAAAAAATCCTAAGCACAAAGCCTAGGCCAATGGGTGCCAATAAAATCATTATGCAAACGATCCATGCAACCAGATGGAGGGTTCTCCAGAAGCTGGACATTCCAAGAAAAATTACTTGCATAAGCAGCCAACCAATCTGCCACACCATTCCCCTCACGATGGTTATGGGAAATATGAACATTCCAATCTCTAGCCAACAAACCCTTAATTCGCAAAATCAACCCAGAAGATGGGTGGGAAGAGCTACAACCTTTTAGAATAAGTTGTTGTGCAAGCTGAGAATCACCTTCCAACCACACATGTCTATATCCTTTGTTCCAAGCTACATATCTAGACCCACCAAGGAGGCCCATAACTCAGCATTCAAAGCTGTCCCACTACCCAGATTTTTACAAAAACCAATAATCCAGTTGCCGGAGCTATCTCCAAGAACACCGCCACAACCGGAGTGAGATCCATCAGAGGAACTAGCACCATCAACGTTTACCTTAATCCAATTCAGAGGAGGAAAAGACCATACTATGAGCTGCTCTGATTTAATATGCTGCTCTATTCACACCATCGACAGCATTTCCTTGGCAAGCAGTAAATTATCCAAATAAGCTTTAGCAGCTCGTGAAATGCCAACTGAGGTGCTCCTTGAATCATTAAAAATAAAATTGTTTCTATCTCGCCATAAGAACCAAGTTATAATGCCAAAAAAGAGTTGCCAGTAAGGATAAACACTCCAACGTTTAGGCCCCTCAATATTCTGCAAAATCCAATCATGGAGGTCCAAGTCCATAAAATCCTTCAACAGGTTGCGGTCAACAAAGTTCTTCCAAACCTCTTTGGAGATTTTACAATCCCTAATGGCATGCAAAATTGTTTCTCTAGTAAGGTGGCATCTAGAGCAAAGCTCGGTGGTTGATATTGTACATTGAAATCTTCTTGCATTTGTCATAAGCTTGTTCCCCATTACTATCCAAAGAAAAGTACGAATTCTTTCTGGTCCCTCCCAATTCCAAATGTGATTCCAAGGAATCAAGATCATTTGTTTGATCATTATAAGTAATAGCCTTATAAGCCGATCGAACGAAAAATAGCCCATCAGATGATTCGCCCCAAATGACTCTATCTTGACCTTCTATCATAAGGGGAGGAATTGTATTCATGATACGCCTGGAAATGTGCCCCGGTAACAAATGCTGGAAGCTTTCCCAAATCCATTGGCCAGATTCATCAATATAATCTGCAACCTGAAGGTTGATGGCCCCGTTTGGAATTTGGCCCGAAGCCTGCTCAACAAGGCAACCACTACCTGCAATCCAAGGATCTAACCAAAATAACGTTCTTTCACCATTTCCCAATGCTATGCGACTATGCTTCAAGACAAGGGGCTAACAACGAGCAATACCACGCCATAGAGCTGAACTATTCTTTGGAACCTTGATTTCCGGGAGTAATTATGTGCCCATATTGTATTACTCCTAAGGATTTTAACCCATAAAGCTCCTGGATTGGTTAGAAGATTGTGACCCAACTTCATGATAAAAGCAGTATTCATGTCTCTAACTGATCGAATCCCCAGACCTCCTTTTGTCTATTTCGGCAAACTTGACTCCAAGCAACTAGATGGGGTCTTCTGTTTAAGCTTGAGGAACCCCAAACAAAAGCCCGAATTTGTTTTTCAATATCATCACACACACTACGGGGCAAAACACAAACCTGCATTGGGTAAGTGGGGATGGCTTGGCGAACCGCTTTTGAAAGAGTAACTCTACTTGCAAGAGATAAGGAATTAAGACACCAAGAGTTTAAACGATAGTGAAGACGATATAGGATATAGGAGAAAGTTGCCCTCCTAACCCTATGATGCTAAAGAGGGATACCAAGATATCTACCAAGATCTGTAGTCATAGAAAAACCCATCTGATTGCTCAATGTTGTAGCTCTGGTATGACTGACATTACGAGAAAAGAAGATCCTTGTCTTACGAGAAAAAAAGGCCTCTTCTTTTAATATACATAGCACCCCAGATTGCGCAGTAATTACCTCAAGAAGACAATGTTTTAATTCATATCCTATTTTTTCCATTCATCTCCACTTGCAACCACATCCACTTCGTATAAATGGAATGCAACAACCTCCCTCTTTTCTCTCTCTATTCCCCCAATTTATGCCACCCTTTTGTGTATTTGTAAAGCCATTAATTAAGATATCGGTGATATATATATATATGGGGAAAAATTCTCAAGTTGCTTGCGATAAGTTTATCTTCAGCCACCCAAAATTACGTCATTTTATTTATTTATTTCCTTATATTAATTGATTGACCTTTGAATGGTTATGATTCCCTTTTTCTCTCTCTTCCTTTATCACCATTGATCCATCTTTGTACAGTTATAATTTAGTAGCCAGAGATAACATTGTCTCAAGCAGCTTGAGAAACGATAAGCCCTATATACATATATATATATATATATATATATATATATATATATGAGATAAGATCTTTTGACACTGATGTTAAAATTTAAAATTTGATTGTCGAAAATCAGCGGTTATCATTTATTGAGAATTAATAATTAATTAATAAGTTTAATTTTCAATAAATGATAATCGTTGATTGACAAAAATCAATAGTTAGAATTTGGTGTCAAATTTTAAAGTTTGACATGTCAACTGATCCTGCCCCCCCTTCCCCACCCACACACACACACAAAGGAGGTTTACAACCTTTTTTTCCGTACAATTACTTTTAGGATTGTTGGATCAAAATCAAATTAATATAGTTACAAAATGCCATTAAATAAGAACCATTGATTTGGTTTTGATCGAACTATAAAAGTAATTGTAAGAGGTTATAAGAGAAAATAAATTATAAATATAACCTCTCCCTGTATTTGAGGATGGATCTTTTGATTTCAGTGTAAAATTAAAATGTCTTATTCCCCATCTCAATCGTTGATTTTCGTTCATCTAATAACAATTATAATTTAGTTGGAATTAATAATTAATTAATATAACTCAATAAATCATAACTATTAAATTGACGAAAATCAACTATTAAAAAGTTTTACACGACAGTCAAAAGTTTTATATATATATATATATATATATATATATATATATATATATATATATAAAGGTGAAAGTAAAAGAAGCAACTTACTAGGTAGGAGATAGCATCAAATTTTTTGGTTACTTTATCTACATCTCACATATACCTTTTGCATGAACTGTTTTTTCTATTTCTCTTTAGCTAAAGTAGAAGCTTCCTCCTCGACATACATTTACAATAAAACATAAAAGATAAAAAAAACGAGCAGAAGATTGAAAAGAAAAATAAATATTTTCTTCTAGATCATGACACTGACATTCATTCTAAAGAAGCCCAAGGAAATCCACTTGTAGTAGCAACTTTCAGGCTAATGAGTTTTAATTACATATCTCGGAAGCTCGAGAAATGATTCTGAGAAGGTTGGTGGACCATTTGCATGTCCGTGGTTGTTTGCCACGAGTTATCATCGCCGATCAAAGTCCTGTTTATAGAGCATACTTAGAAGTTACATATATACATATAAAAAAGAAAATGGTGAAAGCAATAAAGATACTCCTATTAAGTTCCTTTAATTTTAACCAGTAAAAGTGGTACTAACGCTAATGGAAATTAAAACGAAAATAGTAGAAGATCGCAATTTTTCTACTTTTACAACGGTGTAAAACAATGGTATAAATTAAAATGGTGTGTGAGTAGCATAAGTCAATGAAATTAAAAGTACTAATTATTTCAATTTTTTTTTTATCTTTAAGACTGCCTTCTAATTAATTAATCAGCACCCTAATTATTATTATGAATATATAAATTGTAACAAATTAATATATTATATCAGTTTTGATCTAACTTACTCTCGTGGTCTTGATGCCCAAAGAGAACTAAGGGCTCGAAGACGACCATAGTACTCTCCAATCACAATAAAACACCGTGCTGCTTGACGAACTGTCAGTAATCGACATAATTGGTGAAGAGTCTGTTGTCTCAAGTTATCAGCCTTCAATTCAGAAACATGAATGATTAAAGAAGTAATTAATAAGAAGAAGGAATATGTGAGGATAGTGACTAAAATGCCACGCTTTATCAAAAAAATTATCAGAATGTCTCGCGAGCAGTAAAAAATTTTAAACTGCCACGCGGCATAATTCGCTACACAGTGTAGCGAATTATGTATGCAAGTAATTCGCTACACAGTGTAGCGAAATATGTCACGTCAGAATGCACAGAACCAAAAAGTGTCATGTGTCAGAATTGTTGAAATTCGTTACCTTCAACAATTTTGACACATCACACTTTTTGGTTCTGACGTGGCATATTTCGCTACACTGTGTAGCGAATTACTTGCATGCATAATTCGCTACACTGTGTAACGAATTATGCCGCGTGGCAGTTTGGCAAAATTTACTGTTGACATGGCAGTCTGATAATTTTTTTGTCCAAACATAACAAAATGGTCACTGTTCCAAATATGTGTGTCTCTGTGTTAATTTGTTTTTATATCATTGAATAAAGTAATATATTGTCTTTTCTTCTATAACCTTAGAACTTAATTAATTAGAAATCATTTCGGAAATTGTCTTTTAACATAATGACGACGATGATTTTACACATGGTTCATGATCCAACATCAACCCATCACTTTCTAAAACCAACCACTGACTAGCTAATAAAGAAAAGAAGTTAATATTCTCAAGTTCAATCAAGATCAGGTATAGAAAATGTTAGCTAAAATAACAGCACAAATATGCGGCACAAAATATGCATGCAACCAATTAATAAGCAGAAGAAATATACTGGACTATTACTAATCATGGTTAGCTAAGTTTTATGTTTTGGGATTAATTTGTATTATTCATGTATAAAGGGTTGTAAGCATATTAAAATGCAAAATAATCCTAGGGGGGGAAAAGTCCAAAAGTCAAAAAGAAGAAAAATAAACCATTCCCCTATTTCTAATTAATGATGTGGTTTCCCTTTTCAAATGTGGAGTTTATTAACCAATTAGCAATTGAAACCTAAAATTTTAGAGACACAAGTCATGTATGTATTCAAATCTAATTTTGACATAAACTTATGAATTCATCATTATATAGTCAAACAGAAATTGCAACAAACACATGTCATTACGTCAACCACCCCACCAAATGTTGTACAAAAAAAAAAAGTATTAGGTTTAGAAATTAAAATCATTCCATAAACTATATAACATGTAATGTGAACAATGAATTAAATTGTATGTGCCTACCTGGCGAACAAATCCTTCAAGATTGGCAAGCTTGCCCATGGCAACAACCATCTGTTGAACACCGTCAACGACGGGGCCTCCGGCTATAGTGTCCACTAGAGACTGTTGCAGCTGCTCAAGGCCTTGAGACAGAGCCTCTTCTGCTTGCTGTGAGGAATGCCTCAGGCCATACATGCCCATTATCTGTTGCTCCGCTAGTGGCTCCAACTGTTGGATCAACATCTAACCAAAATAATAATTAACATTACATATATATAGTTGAAACTGTTAACTTTAATGCTAATAATAAAATTGTACTTTTTAAAGATATTTTTTTATTCAACTAATTATTTTGATTACATTGATATATAATATAAAATCATTAATATAGTCTCACTTAATAACTTAAGATTTTGTGTTAAATTAATTATTTATATGGTATCAGCTGTGATCAAGTGATCACGAATTTTATTAATAAATAATTAAATATTATGAAATTTCTTAGCATAAATAAACAGACCTGATGCATTATTCACCTTTGAAGCACAATGATATTAGTATCTACTATTAGAAAAAACCTGTATAGCGACGGAATTGCTATGAAAATTTCGTCGTTAATTTCATCCTCGCTACCATTGTTGTGAAAACCGAACCGGACCGATCGGGTCAACCCGGAACCCGGTGAACCGGTCATCTGACGGGTTCGGTTATCACATTAGATCAGTCAAGTATCAGACCAGGTACGACCAGGCCAGTTTTGGTGAAAAACCGGTGACCCGGCCGGTTAACCGGTGACCCGACCGGTTAACTGGTGACCCGACCCGAGTTTTTTTAAAAAAAAGTTTTTCAAAAAAAAAATCATGATTGACATATTTGAGTGATCTGTTACTTATTGACTTATATAAGTTATGTACCTACAATCTTAATATTATCTCAATTATACATTATGCAGAGAATTTTGATTTGATAGTTAGAGATGTCATTTACTGAACCTGAAACATCAATATAACAATCATTATGTGTTTGTTTGATTATTTATTGGACAATAGTGTATAATTTATTATTTTTTATATTAAAATATTTAGAATTTATATTATTTATTTCAACTATTTGAATATATTTATAATTTTTTAATATAAATTATAGAATTATATATAATCATCGAGAGATGCGGTTCAACCAGTGACCTAGTACATCGACCGAGTAATTGACCGGGCCGATTTTAATAACATTGCTCGCTACTATTTTCCGTCGCAAATTCCCTCGTAAACGATTTTGTGAGGAAATTTGTGACGGAAAGTAGTAGCGATGATGAAATTAGCGACAAAATTTCCATAGCAATTCCGTTGCTATACAGGTTTTTTTTCTAGTAGTACTACTATATATTATTATTATTTTATATTCATATATAGTGTTTCATAGGCTAAGGGAGGAAAATAAAAAGGGTGCACACCATGATGAGTTCAGAGGGTCTAAAACCACCAATCCAGAGGAAGCAGCGTTCAGCTTGGGAAGTCCATATGCCATTGATGAGGTGGAAAACATCTGATTTAGCAGCCACACCCTTGAGCCTGAAAACTTCATCATAATGGGATAGATATCCATCCACGATTGCTCTCATATCACTATCTGATAAGGGCACATGCAACCCGTTCCTGAGCTCCGCCATGAGCCGGTGGTCATCTTCTAACCATCTTGCATATTCCATGTCAAAAATTGCAGCTCCTATAACAAGATCATTGTTAATTTGTTATTACTCATTATTAATTTAATTGATTAATTATGATGATTGGTTATAATAAATTATAATATATATGGTATCGGTTTACATTTGTATGCTTTCGGGGCATGTTTTCATATTTTATATAATAATATTGCTAAGATATTTTTACTACTATGGTGGACCGTGCAATGTGGCCAGGAACGAAAGTATGAAACAGACCCAGCATCATTTTCATTCCTTGGGAATAAATAAATGGATTTTAATCATAATATGTAATGCATTTCCTTTTCATAAGAAAGTGCATTTTCTGTACATACTAATTATTAATTATTAAATTTTTTTAACCATAAAACCGTATTATTTTAGGCAAAGTGAAAAGGAGCAGTATCATAAAGGAATAATTCTCTGAAAAGCCAAAGCATATAAAGTTGCCTTTATATATATGTGTGTGTAGAAAAGGTCGTACTTTTAAACCCATAATATATTAGCATGATCTAATTCAAACATTGGCCTTTTCTATTTATTATTCAAATACGAATTATTTGGCCACAGATTTTGGTCAAATTCAGAGACTTATCTAAATTTTGAAATGGACTCTAAAAATCAAATTTTGACTTTTATTTGGTATTCTAAAAATTCACATTTCATGAAAAAAAAAAAAAAGTAAATTATGAGTAAATAAGGGCAAATATCATTATGAGTCTCATCTCATTGTTTCATCACTTCCCTAGCTCTAAAGTATATAAATAAACAAGTTAGCAACAAAATATTTCAGGTATTTATCCATAGATTTTCCTGTTCCATGGTCATTCAATTTGGGCCAGAAAATTACGCATTAGAAAATGAAATTACATTTCAAAAATCAACAACAAAAAAATGAAAAAAGGAACAGCTAAACTCACCTGAGCTTATATTGCCTCCAACATCTCCACAATCCATAAACATTCCCTAGTAAATTAAAAGGTCAAATAATAATCACTACAAGTTAAAAAATAAAATAAAAACAGAATATAAAATTAATTATAATATATGACTTGAGAACCTGAGAGCGTGTTCTTTGAAGGTCATGTTCAAGCTGGGTAAGCTTTAATCTACTTGACTCTAGCTGCTGCACATAAGCCTGTTACATAGAACACAAGAAAAATAAAGTACATTTTATAGTTCTTTTTTAGTTTTCACATTATGCAATTTCTCAACAACTAAGTGAATGTGTACATTAACATATAGGACACACCTTTTTTCTGAGACGGCTTTTCCTTGCAGCCTCTCTGTTTTGAGCTAAACGTCTCAATGTCTGAGGCCAATAAAAAATCTTACCTTAGCTCCTATGTAAAACCATATAATAAAAAAAAAAAAAGGAGATAGAGAAAAGACTTTGGGAAATTTTTATATATCTATGTAGTCACGTTCAAAAACCTTTGCATCAAGTGGTTTTTCTGATGTGGAACCAATTCCCTTTATCTGCAACAGAAAAGGACCGAAAAAAATTTAATTAAAAGAAAATTATGATTTCAGAAGTGAAAGGGAAGAAAATAGAGGGATAAACACAAATGTTCATATTTGCTCAACTCAGAGTAGAATTTGGGAATACAAACAGAAAAAATGTACCCATTGTAGAAGCTTTTTGGTAGCCAAAGAAATCAGGGAAGTAAAAGAAAGAAAATTGTTAAAACATTATTAAACTTCATCCTAGTTTTGATCTTTGGCAAAAGCAAAATGAACATTAATCAAAAATGATTAGAGTGCTCACGGAATTTCTGGGAAGCATTTCTGAATGTTGAAGCCCCTTGGACCATTTATCTAGAGGCATGCAATCATCAATGTGATATGGGTAACAAAAAGCATCATTATCTCCCATTTTTTTTTGGGTGGTGTTTGTGGTTTAGATTTCGAACTCCAAATTTGACTTGGGAGAAAAACACTAGCTTTCTCTAAATTGAGTGAAGTGCGTGAGTCACTTCACTTCAATAAGAAATGTTGATAAGTACTGAAAAGATTCTCACTTTGTTTTTTTGTTCGTACTTTGAACACATCCCTCTATATCTCTCTCTCCATCATATTTCATGTCAGACACCCATCAGAAAATCGTTCAGGAATAAGGAAAACTCTGTGTTCTTTTGATTTTCTGATAGCTGTTGGGATCTGTGCCATTTTTTTGTGAAGATATGCAGAGAGAGAGAGAGAGAGAGAGAGAGAGAGAGGGGGGAGAGACAGATCAAAACAATAATGATTGCATTAAAGAGACCAACTTTCCCTGAGTTTTGGGGATATGGAAAGAGAGAAGTGAGAGATTAACTGTGAAAAACAGTGTTTAATAGCCTTTTCCTAAGGACTAATACTAAATAAAAAAAGAACCTTTTCCTGTGGTGATTTGGCTGCTGATTGATTCTGTGAAGAACCTGTTCTTGGAGCATCACTTGCCATCTGAAGATGCTGCTGATCAAAAGCCTGATTATCTGAAGAAGATGCCTTTTTACTTATCGGAGATTCTGGTTCAAAGGGTGGTTCAGTTTTGCTTGAAAGAGCTGAATCATTGCTTTCCCCTCCTGACTTTGAACTTCCCTGTATTTGGAAAGCCACACAAATTTTTTTTGACTCAAATAAACCAAGATTATTTCAACTAAAATATCACCTCATATGTTATCAAAGACTATTCAAAGGTTTTAAAACTGAGGAGAAAAAAAAAAAAAAAACTATGAAGATTTGATGAACTTGTAAACACAAGCATCTTTAAATAGATGGTCAAAGATGGAGAAGAAAGAGACTAGTACTCTTGGGGTTTGCTGGAATCTCATTGGCCATGAAGGGAACATTTCCAGTGTAGCTGCAGGTCTGCCTGTGAATAAAGCTGCAAGAATCACAAAAGCAAAATCTCAGAGGATCACCAAACCAAAAAGACTAGAAGATTATTACCACCAAAATAAAAAAAACTTGAGAGGATTTTTCAATTATATCTATATATCAAAAGGCAAAGGAACCTAATCCTCCTTTTCAGCAGTTATGGAGTCAGTAAATCATGCAAAGGAAGTCAGGTTTCTAAGATTGTAACCCCACGCCATCCAAGTCTATTGTCTTAGAATCATTATGGTATCAGAAATGGTAAACCCCCCTCCTCACTGCGCATTCTTTTAGACATATTCAAACCTCTTGTCCTTCACCCCACACCACCACCTTTTTTCTCTCTGCTTTTAGAAAGAGTTGGTTATGCTTATCTAACGTCAGAAAAAAAAAAAAAGGATAAGCGATAGAAAGGAAAAACATACATGCTTTGGCTTCATCATTTCTACTCTTAATTCCTTGCAGAACAATTGCTTCTTCCAGCTCTCCAAAATCAAAAGCAGATCCTTGATTGCTAAGAAACAAAACCAATCATTAATTATTTGTAAAATGAATTGAAGAAAACATCATTTAACAACTCCTTCTTAAGAGTTTAGTTATGTCTAGAGTTTTAAAAGTATTCAAAGCACTGAAAGAGAAATTATTGAAGATTACATTAAGCTTGATGCAGGAGAATTAATCCCGTGAAGCACACCATAAGGGACATGGTGACTTGAAGGCCCTGACTCAGACAAACCAAGTTCTCCTATTCTGTGACTCGCCATGCAAGTCTTTTTTTTTAGACCATTCTCATCTTCCCAAAAGCCAAAATAACTGAAAGATTTCGCATTTGGTAGAATTCAATTCACATGAACAAAAAAAGGATCATGCTCTGATATGAATTACCAGAGCTGAAGAATATAAACAAAAACTTATGTATATGTATATATATATGATGTGTCATATGTGTTAACCTTACCTATAACTTTTGTTTTTGTTTTTTTGAAATTCTAAGGATAAATAGAATCCTATATGGAGGTGGTGATAGAGCAGCAAAAGATCAAAGCTTTTCTTGTCAAAGTAATATCTAATCAAAGTTTTGTGAGTAGCCAGCCACAAAGGAGAGAGGGTGCGGTCTTTTTCTCAGATATGATCCTCTTTGCAACTTTTTATCCTTCATGGGGTGTCTCTATCTCTTTCTTTTCTCCTTCTCTATGAAGAAAGCTGATTGATTAGTCTGTTGGGGCTGCTTTATCACTGTCCCTAGTTGAAAATATTTCAGATTGAGAAACTCATTCTGTGGTACCAAAGATCTTGTCCCAGCTAACTTGTCTTAGGCTTCTATTTGCTCTTGTGGGGCTTCAAAGGTGGCTGAAATAAAACTATTAAATTGAATAAAAACAAAATAATAAAATAATAAAATTGGACAGGTGGGGTCTTTTGCAGGAACCCACTAGAATCACTGACTCCTACTCCACTCTCTCTCCCTCTCTCTCTTCTAACCGTCTGTGTTTTCTTATTGGTTCTCTTATTGTTCTCTTCAATGGAAAAAATTTACAATACTATTGTTATATATACAACCAATAATAAAAATATTGAGATATAAAATAATTAACTTAACTTCATTCAATATCTTAAAATTTTGGATTAAAATGGTACTTATCATGTTATTAAAGCTTCAATGATCACAAGATCACGAGTTCTATCCTCACTATCTTAATTTTTAAATTTTTAGGTGGAATTAAGAAAAGCACAAGACAGACAAAAAAAAATAAACTTGTAACATACCTAAGCTTCAAGCCCAAAAAACTATTAGGTAAGGTAAAATAACTAATTTAATTTTTAAAATTTTGGATTGGAAAAACGTTTATCAATATAACACACCAAATAACATATTTTCTGAAAAAATAAAATAAAAAATAATTTTAATATTATAATTATGTATTTTTTAAAATATAAAATTTATAATTTTATTTCAACCACCGTTGCACCAAGTAGTACTGAAAATGTGTTCCTCTTCGGAGCTTTATGTACTTAAAACAAATTACAACTCATGTATTTTTCATCTGGGAAGTGGGAACACAATAAATTCAGTGTGAGATCAAGCTGAGGCCAGTTTTTCTTTATTTTTATTTTCACTTTCTCATTAAAGTTGACAATAAAAATGACCAAAATAGAAAGCAAAAGGTGGTTTCTTGATCCTTTTTACAACAAAGGGTTATCTAACTAAGTGAGTTATTTTACTGCTTTACACATATAAACCTCCCCTCCCCAAACTTTAAATTAAAAAAATAAAAGAAAAGAGGAAAAAAAAAAAACTTGTTCATATCATTTCAACCAAAACATTAGAATAATAGTCAACAAGCATAACCGCTTTGTGTATTTAATCCCAGCTCTGAGATGGATTTGTTTGGTATTATCCCCTTTGTTGATGGGTCAACATCCATTCCCTGTCATCACCTAAAACCATGCCACGTTAAGATTCCTTTCTACTCATAGAAATCTGTTTGCAGAGCAATATGGTACACGAAGTAATCATGAATTATTAGCAACTTGATTTCATTTTAAGTTGTTAATTAGTATCATAAATCCATTATTTAAATGTAGTTTATTTGACTATTTTTCTTAACTCCCAAACCTTTTATTTTAAACTTAACTGCTAATCTTTCAAAGTTCAAACTACCCTAGAGAGAGGCGTTACGACATAGACTGCTAATATAAAATAAAATAGAGGCAAAAGAGGATTAATTCCACAATTTCAAAGTCTATTATATAGAAGTTTGGGACCAACATTATTGATCACATAAATATATTATGTAATGTATGTACCCAAATAAAGAATGGACAGAGAGAGAGAGAGAGAGAGAGAGAGAGATGAAGGAGACTTTTAGGTAATGGACCCATGATCTTATAACATAAAGAGGAAAAAACAATATTTTATTTTGTGCTCATCTAATAACAGTTGCAGGTAATATGCCTCCTACCCATTATTCCTTTATGATGCCAATGATTGGTCTAAAAAAATAAAGGGGGTTTGGCTCAAAATATAAACGCTCTCATGGGTTAGGTCAATATGTATTTTAAGTATATACCTTTGTTCCCAATATACCTTACAACATCTTCATGTGCAAGTGTTCTTGAGAAGATTTTAGACAATAGATCATTCCACGAATCTGCCATTCCCTTGAGCCGTAATTCTTTGAGTTCCCTTGTTTCCCTGATTAGAAAGGTGATTGGTCTGGATGAAATCCTAGAATTAATTATTCTTTTGTTGATTATGTTCAACTATTATGTTAAGTCATTACTTGTCGGCTAAGCAAGTAACTAAAAGTGCATTTTATTTTATTTTTTCAATTTTCTTTGGGTCCTAGCTAGAGCATTTTCCATCTTGGTCTAAATTTGCATCAAGATTAACGTTGAGCAGTTGTGACTATTGTCTTTCATTCTTTATAGGTGAATGGCTATTTGCAGATCAAGCAGACATGTCATGTTTAGGAATTAACATGGCACTAACAATCCATTTATATTGAGAAAAATCATGGTAGTCAATGATTGGCAATGGACCCATGAAGCCAGAGTCAATTTTGTATTGAACACCCTGACATTATTAATGGGAATATGCTAAATTCACTCACTCAATTACGTGTAAATGGGTCATAAAATGGGGACATTGATGACGAAAATGGTATACATTCCTTTGATTTATATCACTTCTCATAAATAAGTGAAGTGACAGAATTAGAATACAAGTGTACAGAAAATGAAATGAGATCAACTATAATTAGATAATGATACAAATGTGAGATCATGTGTCTGTAATTGAAACTTTAGCATTATTCAATAATAAATAAAAAGGATTGACCCCAACTAAGATTTCCTTATCATTTGCTTTATCCCTAATGTATTAGTAACAAAACAGTACGAAATTATGTTTTTACAAACCAGCAGGCCAGTGGCCAGCAACAGTCTTCCTAGCGAAACACCTGTATTTATTTGTATCTTTCTTAGTCACGTGTAATAAAAGAATTAATGTTCCTCTTACAACATAATATAAAATCCTAAAACATGTTATTTTAGAGTTTGAAAAAAAAAATATTTTATTAAAATACATAATATAAAAAGAAAGTAAATTTACTAAAATACTTGTATTTTTTTAATACTATAAATTATCATTAAATTTATTTGGTGTCAAAATTTTGAAAGATTACTCATTCGAAGGAGCAATAATAAGGTTAACAGACTCAAGAATAATGCTAAAGCTTGGACTGAAGACCCTGTGGAGCTTAAATCATTAGTATGTAATTTCTATAAAACTTTGTTTACAAAAAAGAATTTTAATCGTAGATGGTTATCCTCTGTCAATTGTTGGGCTGGTATTTCTCATGATGAGTGCTTGGAGTTGAAGAGGATTCCTAGTTTGCATGAGATTTCTAAACTGTTACTTGGCATGAGTGCGTATAAAGTACCTGGAGTAGATGATTTTCCAGCAGTCTTTTTTCAAAGATAATGATTTAGAGTGAAATATCAGGTGTGTGATACAGTCAAAAGTATGTGGAGCAACCCAGAGCTTATTTTTAATATTAACTCTACCCTATTAGTTCTCATTCCAAAAACTAATAGCGCAGAGTATATTGCCCAGTTCAGCCCTATTTCACTTTGTTCAGTAGAGTATAAGGTCCAATCTAAAGTTATTGTGCAATGAATGAAGCTTATAATGGAGAAAATTATTTCTCCCTTCCAAGTTAGTTTCGTTCCCAATAAGAAAATTCAAGATAACATAATCATTGTGCAGGAATTAATCCATTCCATGCATAAGATTCGAGGCAGGAGACCTTTCATGGCTATAGAAATTGATCTTATGAAGGCATATGATAAGCTCAGTTGGAATTTTCTGAAACATACTTTGGAGGAAATTGCTTTTCCTAATCATTTGATTAATTTGATTATGAGTTGTGTGCAATCCCCTAAGATTAATATTCTGTGGAATGGTAGCAAATCAGAGGAATTTATTCCCTCAAGAGGGATAAGATAAGGGGATCCTTTATCTCCTTATTTATTTGTTATTGCAATGAAAAAAATTATCACATATTATTAGCACTGCTGTTAGGGGTCATCTTTGGAGCCTATCCGCGCAGGTAGAGGAGGTCCTCAGATTTCTCACTTGGCTTTTGCAGACGATCTTATGATTTTTCTCTAAGAACACTAATGAAGAGTTGGTTATGAGCATAACCAATCGTAGTGGCTTCAGGCATGTGAAGAATATGGGAAGATATATGGGGTCCATGATGCAACAGGGAAGAGTTATTAGAGATCTTTATGAGAATATTGTTGAGAAAGTTAGAGGTAAGCTAAGCGCTTAGCATCAACAATGTCTTTCACAGGCTGGGTGTGTTACTCTTACACAATCAGTTATGGCAGCTATTTCTTTTTTTCATATGCAGGGCTGTAAAATTCCTAGGAGTATCTGCTTAGAGTTAGAGAAAATGCAACGTGCTTTTATTTGGGGGATAAGGAGAATCGTCATAGGCATCACAATATCAGTTGGGAGGTCATTCTTTAGCCAAAAGCGTGTGGTGGTTTAGGGTTGAAAAGTTTATAGTTGATGAATGATGCTTTCATTGCTAAAAAGGCTTGGGAGTACCATTCTTCTCCTAATCATCTCTGGGCTCAGGTGTTACATGCAAAATACGAGGTTGATAGGTGTCGTGGTGATCCTTTCATATCTAGGAATGCTGATTCAAATTTGTGGAAAAAATTATTTAGGGTGTGGAAGAAAATGGAGGTTCAGATATATTGGGAACTGGGTAATGGTGAGAAGATTAATTTTTTGAGAGATAAATGGTTCTTTCATGGAAAATCCTTATTAGAGGATCTCAATAACAATGATCAGGTCATGGATATGAACAAGACCGTTGCTGATTGGATAACTGTTTCAGGTGATTGGGATTATGAAGAACTGAATTGTTGGCTTCCTGATTATGTAATTGAGAAGTTTAGGAACACTTTAGCCCCTTCCGGCGTTGATGATCCTGAAGTTTTGACATGAGACTTATTGGGGCATCATGTTGTTTACGTAAAGAATATTTATAATTGTATCAGTAGACTGACAGGTTTGAGGGTCGAAGATTGTAATGTTTGGAAGAATATTTAGGCATGGAAAGGGCCACAAAAAATTAAGTTTTTTATGTGGAAGGTGGATCATGATAGACTTCTTACGATGAAATGTATAGCTCAATGAAATGGTGGTAATGACTCTTGTCTAATATGTAATTCGCAGTCTGAATCTATTCTTCATGTGTTAAGGGACTGTCATCATGCAAAATCTTTGTGATACAGTTTACTTCCTAAGGAGTTGTGGGAAATTTTCTTTGATCAGAATTTTGAAATGTGACTTCATAATTTCATTGTTGATGGGAGGGTAATGAGTCTCTAATTTATTATGTATTAAGCGTTATTATGAGCACGAAATTGATTTAAAAATAATTAAAAGTTATGAGAATTATAATTAAAGTGTTATTTTATTCTCAGAAATATTCTAATACAAATTCTTATATTTTGCAGTAATTTTCATCTCTATAAAAAGATATATTGGAGAGCTCAAGTGGATTTGTTTTTCTAAATCATATAATTGATTGAAGATCTTAATGAAGATTCTCTTGAATATTTTTAAGGAAATTGTTTCCTTTAAATATAAAAGAGAAGATTTTAAAGATTTGATTTAAGATATGATTGAAGATTATAGTAAAGATTCCATTGATGATATTATGGAAAATAAAAAGATATGGTTTCTTCTATAAAAAGAGGGCTGGCACATTCAAGAGGAGGAGCTTTTGGAATCAAAGAGAGAGCGTTTTGAAGAATCAAGAGGAGGAATCATGTTGCGGAGCATTGGTGCACTGAAGAGTCAAGACAACATCACATCAATGGAGTCTTGGGAAATTATTTTCTTTCCAATTGTTTTGAATTTAATATGCTAGGCTAAGTTTTTATGTAGTTAGGGGAAGATGAAACCCAATTGGATCTTTGCTCTATGAATTAAATTGTCTCTGAATTCTTCTATTTCTATATTTGAATGAATTTATCTGCTTTTAATGTTTTCTATGAATTTGCTCCTTATAGATTGATTTAGGAGAATTGTATGACAATAGGAATGTTGGTGCATGAACCTTGATTTGATAAATTCATCATAATCCTTGTGATCTAGGAATAGACATAGGGCAATTGTGCAATCTTTGAATTCTTGATTTTAATGCATGTTTTCTTGATGAACAACCGGGGAACCATGATTCTTTCAAGATCACATAGAATTAGGGTAACAAGGATTTGAGCCTTAATTAACTTAGAAAGAATTGATTGGCATTATATTAAGAGCGGATTCTTGACTATTTAATTCATAGCATAAAGAGAAAATTGAAAGTCGAAACCTTAACTACGCTCTTTCTTGATTTTCAAAACTTTTATCTTTTTTCTTTCTTGCTTTTAATTCTAATATTAAATGTTATTGCTTGTTTTTAATTTCAATTCTTTTCATCTCAAATTCGATTGTCCAACTAAACGGCAATTAGTGAAATAATGCTTGAAAAATAATCCTCGTGGGAACGATCTCGTACTCCGGTACACTTTATTACTTAACGATCGGTGCACTTGCCAAGTCGCAACAAAGGGGAACTTTAGTGCATGATTTTTGGTTATCTACTTTTTTTAGTACTTGTTGGAAGTTATGGCAGTGGAGGAATGGAACTATCCATGATGCTTTGGTTTCGTAATTTTTGTTAAAGAAGTGCATGAATCTTTGCAAGCCTCGGCTAATATACAATCAGAAAAAAGATCTATGATTATTGATATTGCTTGGCAGTTTCCAATTGAGGGTTTCGTTAAGGTTAACACTGACGGAGCTTCTCGTGGCAATCCAGGACAAGCTTCTTATGGTGGGGTGGTTAGGGATGCTCAAGGGAACTAGATTACTAGTTTTACTTTAAGGTTAGGTGTTTGTAGTTTTTTCAAGGTTGAACTCTAGGGTGTCTTCCGGGGACAAGAACTAGCTTGGAATTCTGGGTTTAGGAAAGTGGTTTTGGAATGACTCTTCTAGTGTGGTCATTGTGCTCACCTCTTTAGGTGCAGTAGCTCGTGGGCGTCATTTGATTGCTCGTATACGAGCTTTGATACAGAGAAATTGGATTGTCAAATTTCATCACACTTTCAGAGAAGGGAATGTCTGTGCCGATTGGATGACGAATTTCATCTTAGATAACAATGAGAATTTAGATTATTTCATTAGCAGAGAACCTCCTCCTGGAATTCAACTGTTGTTGTTGGCTGACCTTGCTGCTGTGGGCAAACCTCGTACGTTAGTTGTTCAATAGTTATTCATTTTTGATTTGTTTGTTTTCTTTTCTTTGGTGGGCTTAGGCCCTCTGTTTTACCAAGAAAAAAGGAGTAAAATGGACAAGTTAGTTAATTACTAACGGTGTTAAAGTGGACTTGGATGCAAAAAACCATGGAGGTAATTGATAAGAAAAAAACATATGAATGTAAGTGATAAAAGAAAAAGTCACAAGGGAATTTATAAACTTTTTCCTTAAAAAAATTACTTATCCATTAATAAGTAGAGATATATTATTTTCAGGTTTGAGTCTCTCTATCCTATGAGAAATTATGATTCTAAAGACATTATTTTTAGGGTTTTACGACTATCCAGTCGCAAAAGAGAAAAAAATTCTCCTATTGACTCATCAATTTTCACATTCTGACCTTTTTTTTTACATATAAGCCCAACATATTTTTTTGCCTGTCAGTAGAGACATTAACTCTCCTATTGTAGGAGACTCATTTAACCTTATTTTTATGGCGGGATTGTATAATAGGTAGCTGCATAAACTACCAAAGGTTTCTAAGTGATCTCTACTAGAGAAATTATATCGACAGGTTGGAAGTGATCTCTACTAAAGAAATGTGACAGATTAATCATTACAATTCAAAAGGAGAATGACTTATCCATCCTCCGTTTTTTTTTTGTCTCCTATGATTTGTTTTCATGTCCTTTTGAGTGTGGAGTTAATCCCCACTTGGATATTTAACCATGTAAGGGGGTGTTTGTTACCAGATTTTTTTTAAGATTTTCGGAAAATGATAATCGTATTTATCTATATTTGGTATAAGATTTTTAAATTTTTTTCGAGAATCTAATTTTTTTGAGATTTTATTTTGTGTGTAAATTTTTTTGAAAATATCATCCAGGAATACCATCCAGCGGATGGTATTATAAGATTTCTATGACAAAGAAAAATTTAATACAGCTAAACATAACATGAATAAAATTAACCCAATATTTTTGAGAATATTTTGGCCTACCTAACAACTTTTTGATAATATTTCCAAGAAAACTTATATCAAACTTACCCGGTGTTTTTAATAGGATTTGATTCCCAGAACTGCAAGTAAAGTTCACCCACGTGATATCAAGATGCAAATTGAACCCCATCCCGTTTAGCCCACGCACACTAACCAGTTAGAGTACATTCATTTATTGTAAATTAAAAACACACTACTAAGAAATAAAAGCACAAAATTTATCATAATAAAATCGTACTATTTTATAGGTTAGTGAACTCAATTTTCTTTTTTAACAACTCAATCTTGCACATCATTTTCCACTTCATTTTATATGATATTCTCATATTGGGCATCCTAAATGGATTGACACGATCCAGTACAAGATCCATTATATATCATTTATAAAATAATAAAAATAATGGAAGTGAGGAGAGGTCATTTGGAAGTTATAAGCACAAAAGAGGAGATAGGCATTGAGGATATACAAAGCCCTGATTAGTGGTCAGGCATATTTTAGCTATTCTTTCCAAGAAACTCATGAGAGAAAACTAGGAAAAAATATTTTAGTAAATAATAATTCAAATCCTCTGTTTTTGATATGTAAATTATCAAAAGGAGTATTTGAAAAAGAGAAATGCTACCCACACCGCCACACACTCAAATATATACAAAGACGAGTTTGTGGTTTACATAATACATAATAGTAGCTGAGTAGCGTATGGACACATGTTTTTCTAGTTTCGGAACTGCCAAGTAGTTTATTAATGTTACCACCGCTTCAACTCTGTTGATAAGTTGGTTCAGCATCTCCTCATCCTCTAGTTGCCATGGTAGCTGGCGACGTAAACTGAAAGGATCTTTTACATAACCCGCCATAATTCATCTCCATAAAGAATTATTCATCTCAACATCCAATGTATATCATGTCAAGTTGGTTCAATGTAAATCATGTCTAAATATATCTAAGGATTCCAATATCGTGGCAGTGTACCTAAAATTAAAGGTAACCCCAAGGGTAGCTCAGTTGACAACTGAGCTTCCAAGGATTTGTTTGGGTCAAAGGTTCAAATTCTGTCTCAAGCAAATTCTTGAAAAATTGTTGCGGGCTAGAGGACACGCCTCTCTCCTCGAGGGGGGATTAGTCTCATCCTTCCTCCGGTAGCAAGCTCAATGCACCCGTTGTTCCAATGAAAGGGTAGCCTTCGAACCGTACAAGGTGACCGGAGAAGGTTGAATGGAGATACCCTCCAGGTTATACCAAAATAAAATAAAAAAATTAAAGGTTATCAAGACTCACCGCTTAGATTAGTTAATAACATTTTTCTTTAATAAGAAGTGATCAAAGTCCTGAATGTCATTGTTAGTTAGTCGCACAAAATTCTAAATAAAGATTGCAAACAATGACTAAGTCAAAATGGTGCATAAACTCTTGAATTCTGTAAGTAACCAGCAAATGTGCCTATACAATTCGACAAACAAAAATTTGATCTATCCCAAGGTGTTTAGCAGAATTCTATTCATACTTAAAATGTGGATCTACATGCGTGTATCTCCTCATAAGCTCAACCATTGATGTGGTGAAATTAGCTAACATCCGGCATTCTTCATCAGACTTAGCCTCAGAAACAATTCCATGGATGACCAGCTTCTTAAGATTGGGAGTTCGCTTAAGCAGCCCCTCAACCCAGTGGGAAAATAGATCATTGATCACAGTCCAGCCAAGCTGCAAAACAATAACATTCTGCAGATAAGAAGAGCCTTGGAGACCAAAGTGAAGCACCCCGTCCCCATCTCTAACATCATAACTCAAAGATAAATGGCTCAAGTGTGGGAAGCATGTAGCAATTGTTTCTAAATCTACAATCTCATCCTCGTCATCAAACATCACATCCCAAAGCCGAAGCCTCTTTAAATTTGATGATCTTGAAATCATCTGGTAGAATTTGGGCCATATAATTGTGAAGTTGCTGATATCTACAATCTCAAGATTCTCAACCGTCTCACCAATATCAAGATGTATAACACTAACATCGTCAATCTTAAAATGCTTCAAGGTCCCCTTGCCAATCAGTTCAAAAACCTCAAGTGCACAATCTTTCAAATGCAAACACTCAATACCATCAGCCTCTAATATAAACTTGTCCAAACTGATTGCTTCTACATATACACTCTTTAGTGTTGAACTATTCAGTTCAACCGTCACCTGTGCATCAGACATTGTAATCTCTGGATTGATGAGTTCCAAAGTTTCAATCTTCGGACATGCAGATAACAAAAGATTGAGATCCAATGCTGATATACTGACATAACTCAAGGAAAGGGATTTCAAACAAGGGAACCTCTGATAATTGGGTTCAACCCCTGCAATGGAATTATGAGCCAATTCCAGTATTTCCAGCTTCTGCCTACCACATATATCAAGAATGTTGACATTAGGCATAGTCCTTACATTATAAAACAATTTCCTCAAAGTTTCCCTTGTATACATGAGCCAAGCAATAACAGTGGAAGCTGAGAATTCCTCAACGTCTTCCATCAAAATTGACAGTGCTTGCAATGCTGAAGTTTGGAAAATCGTTTGTGTTATCAAGATTTCGAGCCTACTAGTTGTCAAATCACGGTAAATATGCCAATCATTGGAACTAAATGACAGTGTGTGAAGATGCTTGCGGCATGCTTCACGCCATTTCCTAGAGATTGCAGAAGCTACCAATACATCCCGGGCAGCTTTTAGTTGAGACAGTATGTTCCCAATCACTTCAACAGGAAGATTCTCCATAATGTGTCAAAAATTATATATCCAAGAACCCCAAATGTTGCTATCTCAAAAAAACAAAAAAAAAACAAAAAAAAAAAAATCAACTTTGTTGCATTAACAAGATAATCCTTCCAAGAGTGAGTTGGAAAATTCAAAACCACATCAGAAGCTTTTCACCTAGAAATCAGAAAACAAGCAATAAATAAAAAACCACTTCCGGTTAAACCCGAACTTCTTACATTTTAGTTATGAAAAAACAGTTTTACGTTCATCCCTTTTAGAAAACAAGCAATAAAATAAATAGGAAAATTTCAATTAAGAAATTCAAATGATCAACATTCATACTGAGAAACATGAATAACCGTAAGAAATCATTCGAACAATGGCAAAACTTATCAAGCACCTAAAACTGATGATTCATGAGAAAACAAAAAAAAAAAAAAGGTATGGAAATTAGAATTAAAATTGATTTTAACCCGATTCCGGAAATTGGAAAAAAAAAATTATGCGCAAATGAATTCTAAAAAATTCTAGAAAGAAATGATAGGAGAAATGTGAATTAAGATTCAGAAACATTGTGATACCTGAATAGTAGAAAGAGAATGAAGGATCTCCGTGCGTAAATCGTAGAAAAAGGAGGTAGCAATTGGTAGCAAAAGCGGAAGAAGAAAAAACGGAGTTATGGATCTTCGGCGCCGTATCAACTACGGAGTTTTTTTTAGTATTTTTATTTTTATTTTGTTAATTCTTGACATATCAATTGTTTTATAAATCATAATAAAATGGTTAGGTAACGTTCATTTTCATGTTGAATAGGCATTTATAAATTTGCAATATAACATCCTTTTATTTGAAAAATAAAATAAGGGAATTATGCAACATAAGAGTTTTATCTCCTATATCAATCATCAAAGATTCAAAATATACTTAACATAATTCACCAATTACAATCACAAGTCAATATTACACAACCTAATTAAAGTATCAAGAGACCAAAGTACAAAACTCATATTCTAATGGGGTCACTACGCTGACCTGGTCCTGCCTCTTTTGAGAAGGTCCCCGACAAAGGAAAATTTAAAAGAAGTAAGAATGAGTTTTTGTTTTCCATCAACGACTATAAGGATTTCATTTGAATGGGTAAAATTCTATAAGATTCACGGCAGCGAGGTGAAGATTGAAGACATATAGGTCGCTGGGAGAGAAGAGAATGATTAGATTTAGGTTTCCAAGTAATTTTATTTTATTTTTTTTAATAAAACGATATTGTTTCAAGAAATTTTTTTTAAAAATAAAAACATGCAATGACCCCTTTGATCCCTCTGACCCGGGACCAGGAGCCACAGAAACCCGACTGGGTTTTGAGGGTCAGAAGGGTCGATATGCATATAGAGTCCAACTTGTGACCCCAACCCTCAGAGGGGAGGGTTTAGGGTTGACTCGAGTCAACCCGGAGGCAGGGTAGAGTTTTAAAACACTACTATAGACCCATCGAAAATCGTGACATTCTTTTTTTTTTTTTTTTCTATAAATAGTGAGCCCATCACATGTGTGTTTACAACACATGAGATCATCTCTCATGTAACATGAGATTAAATGAACCCATAAAATAAACATGAAAATGTTAGTTTGTAGAAAAAAGTTTTTCCTAGAACTTTAAAGAATCTGGCACGGGAAATAATTCTCGAGTAAATATTTTATATTATTAAAATTTTATATGATCTGGTTATACAAAAATTTTATATATATATATATATATATATATATATATATATATATATATATATATATTTTTTTTTTAATTAATAATAATTAAATCTCACTTATTTAAAACATGTGAAGAGAGAAATAAACACAAATTTTCTTAACACGAGAGAGAATTCATTTGTTATGATATGAAGGGTGCGCGTGACTGTCAATACTAATTCATCTTATTTTAAGACGGGTTGGCCGGACAAAATCTATCTAAAAATTTAATATATTAAAAAACTATATATATTCAAAACTAATGTTTTATTTTTAATCTTCAACATCCAAATATTTATCAAATTTAAAACTAGCGTCAAGAAATAAGACAATGACAAAAAAAAAAAAAATAAGTCAATAATTTCATTTAATACAACTACACACGCCATGATTTTAAAATTAATTAATAATTCTAGTATAATTATATAACAAAATAATAACATCAAGTATGTGAATATATACAAATTAATCAACACATCATTAAAGTCCAAAAACAGGAACAAGTTTCATATTTATTTTTTTTGTATTAATGCCTTTTTCTGCCAAATCAAAAGTGAATACAAAATAACTTTCCCTATAGCATTATGGTCTTGAAAGAAAATTTTAGGAAGAGTTACTACTAATATTACTTAACTAATCATGGTTGAAAAGGGAAGAGAAAAATTTTAAAAGCAAATGAATAATTGACAAAATGTAACAAATTTTTTCATTATTTCCTTTCGCAAGTCAATTTAAAAATAAATAAATCAATGGCATTAAAGATTCTTCATCATGTAAACGTAGTAAATAAAAAGTTGTGAGCCAACCCAGCACGATGTTTTGGTAATGATTTTGGTTCAATCATATTTCTTAGTTGCTTTTTGAATTATTGAATTTTTTATTTTTTTTACATTGAACGTTCATATAATAGCATTTGAAATTTGAATAGATTTAAGTTCGAGAATAAAAAAAAGAGTGTAGTTGGAGATTGTAAAGAATTAAACAGAAATAGAATGGTAATTAAACTACAGAAATAGAGATTATTAAGATTAAAAAAAAAATTAGACAACATTTTATCATTCAACTCAAAATAATACATGAAAAAAGAAATGAATATACACAACATAAAGTCGCGCGCCCCGTGGAGCACACAACGGATTACATGGTCTTGAAAACAAAATAGAGTAAATATATAAAAAATAATAATTTTATAATTAAAGTTCAAATTGAAATCTTCATCACACCTTTCGATTTCTACACATAATTATTTTTAATATATAAGTCTCACAAACTTTTTGTCTCTAGATCATGAGATTTCAATTATCATGAAAATTATAAAACTCTGGAAAAAAAAAACACATCCTAAAACTCTTAAACCATGTTGTCCAATTACGCGCTAACATGCCTTGATTCCATTATATTTATTTTTACACATGAGTACATAAAAATAAATAGGAAGCAATGAAATTTAATTGCACACTAAGTTTCGTGAATACAAGTAAAAAAGCCTAATAATAAAGATCAAAACAGAGCAAGCATGAAACTTGACTTACTATAACTTCTTCCACACTGTCCCACCAATCTCTCACAGCAGGTACTGCACCTTCAGTTGTCATCCCTTGAAATATTTGTTAGTTACATACATTTTCACTAAAAATATATTACAAAATTAATCAGCACATCAACATGCCAAACCAATTAATCAACAACCAAATTGCAAATAAGTAAGGAAGTAAAGTGAAAACGGTAAGAAATTACTAAGAAAATATGGGTTTGTTTTTTCTAAGGTTACTTTGTTCATCGAAACAACATCGTTTTGGGACGAAAATCATAGTGTTTTTGTAATTTTAAAATGACGTTGTTTCGATGAACATTAGAGAAAGTTATCTAAAATAAAATTAGATACTTTTTTTCTCAAAAAATATATACACACATTCATCTTAAAAAGCATTATCATATACACAACTGAACAGTCGAGTAGCTATAAAAAAATTAGCATTGAGAAATTAAAACTATGCAATTAAAGTATGAACATCTTAATTTAAAAATAAAAATAAAAATAAAAAGCAATGAGATATTTGGATAGCCCGCGTGGCCATCACAGCCCCAACCAATGCGAAATACAGAGAGGGGCTCTGGCCGCAGGCAGTCGTCATCGCAGGGTTCCGACGGCAAAATGCCACACCTTTAAACCCGAGCGCCTCCGCCTCCATCTCTTAACCGCCGTCACCGTCGCGGCCGCGAGTTAAAGGGAAGAAGAGACGCTCGAAAAGGCGGCGACCTTGCCGTGGCTTCTCTCTGCTCAGATAAGATCAAGTAGTGTTTAGGTCCTGGTTAGGGTTTGTGCTCTTTTTATATACCAACGCTCTTTCTCTTATTCCCAAAATACCCTTACGTAAAATTAATAAGAATGAACCACTAATACTTTTAAAATTGAGAAATATTACTCTCCTTTTACATGAGGTAACTTATCTCATTTTCTCTCACTTCGATTTTCGCACCCCACTTTTTTTTTTTTCTTGTAATGGTGGGACCCACCCATTTTCTCTCTACCACATAAGATAACTATCTTATGTGAAAGGAGATTAATAAAACCCTTTAAAATTTAACGTGTCTGCTGTGAAATTTCTATACAATTTAATTGTATCTTTAAGTGTAACTAACATACATTTTATTTAAATATAAGTTCTATTTATAACAAAATCATTCTCTCTCTCTCCTTTTTTTTTTTTATGGAAAACATTTACAAATGATACTGCATTTTTTTTTTGATATTTTTCTTACAGTTTTTTTTTTTTGGTACTTATTCATTATATTGCAAACGGAAGATAATGACGTGATTAAATAATCTTGATCACAACAATAACAAAGTGTGATCGATTAAATTTATGAATGAGTTATCATTTTTAAAAAGTTACTGCTAAACACATGGATTAATTAACGAAAAATTGTTCCAAAAAAAAAAATTAAAAATTCAAATTAAATTTTAAAATTTTATTTACTTTAACGCATTTTATCAATTTTATGATGAAAACGATGGAAAAAATATTTATCATTTTAGAAAATATAAATTTATATTATTTTAAATAAAATGAATATGTTTTAATATACATTTGATATCATTTTATATCATCCTTCCTCCACAAAATTATAAGGAGAGGAAAAGAGAGAATATTGTGAAAGTAAGAGAATATATAAAATAACAAATATGCACCAAAATACAATCATTTTGCATGACATAAAAATTTTCCTTTAGACAATCATTTTTTCCTAATTGTTATTAAATTTTATTCAACCAAATTATCAACTACTTAAAAACTATCAATAACTACTTGTAACTTGTAAGTTTAAAAAATTATGAAAGATTTTACTTTTGGAACGAAAATAACAACTAAGTCGTGAATGACTTGTTATTTTCTCCATCCAACAAACAAGAATGTAATGCATGCAAATAAAAATTAGAAAAAATAAAAATAAAAAATTCCGGGCCGATTGCACAAGGAAAGTAACAGGTAACTAGCAAACTGGATTTCTTATGCCTCTCTAATGATCTCAAGAACCAGTTTCATGGCAGATGAAATTACAAAGCACCAGTTTCATGGCAGATGAAATTACAAAGCAGAGATGAAGAGCAGTGTTTACACAAGAAAAACAAAACTCTCAGCACACAGCATGAATGAAAGCCATTATATCATACATGTATGTAATTTATATATTAGATAGTGGAGGAAGTTCTTGACTTCGGAATCTCATCATCCTTCGATGGTGGAGGTAAGGTAGGAGATGAAGTTGCTGCGTGGTAAGATGAGGAAACAAGTTGTGCTACAGCAGGAACAACCCCACCTGCAGTTGTGTCAACAAAACTCTCATCAACTCAGCAACAAGGTAAATCCACATAACTATGAGACGAACATCATCTTATTTTCCCTATAATGAAGCCTTGGGTGACTTGAATTGTCATATGGTAACATGATAAATAGAAAGCTTATTCTTCTATATAAGCAGCCATAAAAACTCTACAGTGCCAATCAAGAATATTCAATAGCACTAATAGAAAGGCTGGCACTTCAAAGATATAGAAAACATAATCAGACACACTTGGCCAAAAAAGATTTTTTCACTTTTGAACACAACAAATTCTTATCATCTTGTGCGTTTTTCTGTGAAACTTTTTCTACAATGTTAAGCATAGCTCAACCGTAAACCAAAAATAAAAAGAACATACAAAACATACAAGCAAAGTAAAACAACATAATCAGACACTCACCAGCCAGTCCTGCACAGGCTGAAGAGAATACTATCACGGGTGGTGCCTGAATTTGCAGAGAATTTATGTCAGTATGATGGTAACAAGTTTTAACTGAATTAAGAAGACATATAGTATGGTCTTGGGACTGGGAGTATTTCAGATGTAAAATTTATGAGTAAAAGCTCTCTATGCTGCAACACCTATGAAACTCCATTCCAAAAGAACCGCAAAATATACAACGACTGCAACCTAAATGGCACAAATTACACAATTAAACCAATAAGAAATGGGTTCAGCAAAATGATACTTTTAGCAATAGCTGAATTCACAGGTAATAGAAAAGCATGGAGATTGGACTGGGAAAACAAGCAATAATGTATGCCTTAAAACAAGACTGATCCAAAATGGAAACGACAATGATGATCCAAGACGTGCAGGCATCATGTTTAGCAGTTTTGGAAAATGTAACTAAAATCTCCTCAATGAAAAAGTTCAAAGCGAGTGGGTAAAAACAACTTTTAGAAACACTGCTTCAAGAATGTAACAAAAGCCTAACCCTCCCTCAACCCCTTTCCAAAAATCACCATTTGCACTATTGTCAAACGAAAATGTAAAATCTATCTCATCCAAGATTAAGTCATCAAAGAACTATGCATGTAGTCATCATGCAGGTATGAACTAATACTCACAATAAGTTCTTCTCTTTTAAGCTCTATTTATGATTCTCTTGCAGATTATAGAATGATATAAGTCAGTTTACTTCTATTTAAAGTGGCAAAATGACTCTACATCAGAGCAGGAAGCAAAGGTGTATAGGACAGAGGGGTTGTTCCTTTAACACCATAGGAAAGGTTACATGGTACCTGTTAACTGTCTCGTGATATCATAGATATGCAAGAATGGTTTCAATACCTTACAAGAACTATTATAGGAGCCGGCGAAATGATTTTCTTTTGTACACTTACGAATTTACATTAAGTTGCCAAATCATTTTGCCATTGCTTTGGAGGAAAACAAGAAAGAAGTATAGACTCTTAGTTAAGAATATCTCCATGAATTCTTATTAAAAGAAATTATTTGTCCAACATCATAAATTGGTAATGTTTTTAAGAACATAATGTGATGCTCTTAAGTCAAACAAGAGAAAATTATGAGTTGTTTAGGATGCTTAATCTAAGAGTTCAGGAGTCAAAGATTTACTTTTCCAAAGCATTAAATATGAGGAAAAACCATGAATGAACACTGCAAAAATGAAAGAATGAAAACTAAAACAATAGAAATAAAAGACACTAATTAACTTACACCAATGAAAAAATGCAACCACATGGTTCCTTTTACCAATCTCCGGACAACCGGCATAACTGCATCAAAGAACAAAGAATTGCTTCTGAATAGACTATAGAAATTCCATATGTGAAAACATATAGGCTTCATGAACTTGAGGTTAAGTGCCAAAGATGGATTGGAATATTAAGTGTAATAATGTAATAATGTAAGAAAATAAGCAAACCTACAAGTTTACAGAGTGCATGTTTAAAATTAATATATAGTTTTTTTACATTAAAAATTAAAGCTTTCAGTTTAAAAGATAAAATATTTCTGCAAATTAAAATTTACAAAACAACCAAACTTATACATTCTCATTCAACATGTTCACAACCCCCGTATATATTGTTGAAGACAATGGGTGATATATAAAATCACTGAAAGATTTGAACCCGTGTATGGAACCAGATATACTAATTAATTGTAAAAACAAAGTGCAATAAAAAGAAAAAGAACAGACTCACAGGAAGTATGTACGAATCATAAATAAGTATGCAGAAAATGGAAGCATCTGAGCCTAACCGAAGTTGTCTCCTTAAGACAATCTGTTCCCTCACAATGATACCGAAGGTTTGATGAACAATTGTCTCCCAGGATAGAACGGATGTACGTCTCCAGAGGGTGACTACACTGACAATCTGGAGCCCCAACGAATACAACTGAATGCCAGAGAGAACTACATTTTTCCTAAGCCTAAGGCAATATGCACTATGTGTATGGATTCATTTGGATAACTTACAAAAAATTCGGCAGAATAAGGATAGAAAAAATTCGGATAATTTTCTGAAAGGTTCAATGTCTATATATAGACATTAAATGGACAAGATGAACCGCTGCCAACGAATTGTCATGACTGACGGTTCAAAAATTTGGCGGGGAGTAACGTTTCAGTTTGAAAAAGTTGGATGGAAGCAACGGATATTTTGGACAAAAATAATTTAATAAAAATTTATTTAAATCTCACACACACGGGTGACTGACCGACAGAGCCGGACGGCCGGCGGCAGCAGCGCGTGTGTGGTGGACCAAGATCCACCTAAGTCCTCTCTCCTCTACAAAATATGTAGTGCCCCAAGGGCCAATCTAGGAGTGTGAGGTGGGAGCTTATAAACTTTTCCAACTCTTACTAGTTGTCCAATATGGGATTTCTTAGTTTATAACCCACACACATTCTTTCATCTTCCCTTTTTCCTTTTCTTCTAAACCACTTCTTATTCATAACCCATGGAATTTTAGACACAAATTCTAACATATATACCCCAACTCAATGACAAACGCAATGCATCTTAGTAGTAATGCAAACAGATAAGGATGGGCAAAGCATTATACATGCAAGGTGTTCCTATTTGCAAATAACAGGATACAACTGATCATTATGAATCACCCCTTTAGAGTTTCATAGCAAGCAAAAAATTATGCACGCAAAAATGAAAAAATTCAATTAAAAAAGAAATCAACATTAAGGAACAATAATACAAACCATAGTTGAATCCATAAAATGCACTTGTTATGCCACCAACGGCAGAACCAATCTGCACAGTATTCAGAACCCCACGAAGAAAGATGTAAAATTTTGCACACCCATATATATATATAAACAAAATAAATTTATGGAAGATTACAAGACTGGATCCTGTATTGAACCTTTTTTTTTTTTTTGGAAATAAAACATCGAAATGGGAAAAATTATTTCAATAATAAAATGAAGAGGGTGGAAAGAATTTACCATAGAAAAGTTATCCCTGATGAGAGGTGAAACGGTCCAATGACTGGTTTCCTGGAGAAAATGGTGAATGTTAAAAAACAAAAGCAGAAGAAGTTTGAAAAGAAAGAAAGAAAGAAAGAAAGGGAGAGAAGTAAAAGTTAAGAAAATACCATGTCCTTGGAAAGGGGTCCTGCACAGTGATGGCATTGAATGTTTTTCCGACTACTGCTATCGTTACTGAGTTTCGACCCTTCCATCTCTCCGTGCTGAAAACCACAGCTAGTCTAGAACCACTTGCTCTAGATTCTAGTGTATTCTAGGTCCTCGAATTGAAGATTTCTCATTCTAGAAAGGGATCAAATGAATGTTAAAACTTATTTTTTTAATATTATCTAATTAATAAATCTTCATCGTGTATAAAAATCAACGGTTAATATCTAAAATAATATAAAGTTATATTTTTGATTTAAAAATAAAGTTATATTCTTTAAAAGAATAAATTTTTTTCTCCAAATGAGTACTATAATTATGCACAAGCTAAATGTTAGTAAATCCTACCCCATTATTTACTCGGCCAAGATATTGAGTCACTAATTCAACTGCATTTCGGTAAATATATACAAATCTATAATCTATATTAAAAATTTTATAAATATACTCAAATATTTGTAAAAAATAATAATATCAATTTGAAATATTTTAATATAAAAAAATATATATCACATATTATTATCCCACCAAGAATCAAACAAATATATAATACTTGTGATATTGGTGCTCATGTTATCTAAACGATATCTCTAATTTTAAATTAAACCAAAATTCTTTGCATAATGCTTAACTAATATAATAATGTTATAGATACTTATCTATGTAAGTTAATAAGTAACAAATCACTTAAATATTTCAAAAGAAAACAAATCATTTGTGAATTAAAAAAAATGATATCATTTATTTCTTTTAATTTTTTTTTTTATGAATCGGGTCGGACTGGATCACCTATTTTCACCAAAATCTACGGAGTTACACCGATTCACATCAATTCCAATATTTTGTTGATCCGCCATTTCACCTGAATTGGTTATATAATCATTTTACCAATTTTCGAGTCAACTCGGCCACACCGTCTGTGTTTATAGATACTGCACCAGTACATGTACCCCCCAATTTATTTAAGTTGGACTGGGTTTGTCTATGTTTTGAGTGGATTGTCAAAAATGTTTAGTCTTCACATATTTCTGAAAAATAATTACATTAATAAATTATGGAAAAAATATTTATCCTTTAAAAGAATAGTTATTTTAGTTAAAATTATTATTTTTATTTAAATTTAAATTAAAAAAATCACTCAATTTCTCCTCCGTGATTTTCATTGTGTATTCCATTCTCTCACTCAAAAGAACATAAATTTATGAGGATAAATACCAAATTCATAAATTATATTAAGGCAGGTTGTGTAAAAATAAAAAATCTTACCTCAAATATCTAAAAAATCAAAATTGTTAAATATAAATAAGATCAACGATTAAAATTAAGAAACTAACTGACATATTATATTATGAATTTATGAGTATATTAATTTTAATAGCAGACACATGGACCATTTCAATATTCCATTTGAGATATGCAAAATATTTTGTAAACCATCTTAAATATCTTCATATTTAGTTACCCATGAATTGGTCTAGGACTGCCACTGGTTGGCACTAAAAAATTATCATTTCATGTAGAATCACATTCTACCCTTATTAAGACACAACAATTAGTGTCTATTAAATTAGTTATCAAATCAGATTTAACATATTCATATATTATTATGACAGATAGTAACGTTCAATAGATAAGAATAGAATTCGATGATCAAACTAAATATAATTTGCTTATAAAGCTGATCAACAGAATTTAATAGTTAGATATTCCCATCAGAAAATAAAGTGTGAAGGGAAAAAAGTGAAAAAGGCACTAGCATCATATAAGTGGGGACAACTAAACCCCAATCAGTTAGGGGAACTATACAAATGTCAACCAGTATGAGCCAGGTAACTTCCCAGGTGGAATAAGAGTTGAAGGGAACCCCAAATCTTATTAAAAAAATAAACAACATCTAAACATAGCAATTCCAATAATCGATGTAGCTATACTATTTAGGACTTGATAGTGATGATGAATGCTGAAAAGCATTTGATTACAATAAGTAAAATGATAGCTGAGGAACGGAGAGGCTTTCGGTTCGATCCTTACGTATTATTTTTGGGAAAGGTTTAAATATCTTCATCCCTAACTCGTTTCGTATTTCGGATTAGTCTCGTAGCCATCTAAAAAAATTGAAACTTACAAAAATATGAGAGAGCCAACTCACCTTAATTAATAATTAGCATTGGGAAACTTTAAAAAAAAAAAAAAGATTGGTGAGGAAGTGAGAATCCATTTTTTGTGGCTTTAAGAGAAGAATACCTAAATTCTTTACTTGAGAATATGATGTATGAGCTTTAATATCTGAGTTAAGATTCGCGTATTCTCATTCCAAAGAATCTTTTAAACTTTCCTTTTCCCTACTTTATTTTTCTTTATCCTTTTCCCCGTGAGGAATAGCATTCTGTGGTCATTTCTCGCTTTTCACTTCAACCAATGTCATCATGTGTGCTCAACCAAATCAAAACTCAATAAATGGTTTTGCTCATGATTGACCACTAAGTCTACAAGTTGATTCTCATTGTAATGTGCTTCTCATTTCAAAGTTTCTTCTTGCACTCACAAATGAATCCATCTTATGTTAATGCAACATGTAATTGTAAAAATATAAAAATGAAAGAACAAAAATTTATGTCCCGTGTGGCAGGTGGGACATCCACCATATTGGAGGGTAAAGCCAATTGGATACTCCTAGAAAGAGAGAAGTAATCCTTTGTTCTTCACAAACACACAACCTTTTAAAGATGCGAAAGACTTAAAAGTAATAAGGGCAGTTTCGCAGCATCAAGTAAAGATGACTACCAATATGGGAAGGACATTTCTTTAGAAGAATGAGCATGATATAATAAAACTAACCAAAAAAAAATTAAAAACTTATTCTACATTTGGTTTTTGTTTTTAAGGCTTTATAACTTTCTGTGATTGTCTAAAAAACAGAATCAAAGCAGGGTTTGAGCTTAAAAAAAATGACTTAAAAGTTATAGCAACAAGTTTTTCCATGTATGGTTAATTCTGATTACATAAAAAACACTCGGTCGTCATTGTCACCACCTGACAGAACCTCTAATTGCATATGCAACAATGATATAAAATTAAACAGGCAATGCAAAACTAGGACTTGCCAATTGGTAGATAGAAGCTATACGAAAAGATGAACATAAAGGTTAGTCCTCTTTATTCTATTCCATTAATATCCTCGTTTTTGTTCTTATGTTCTTTTTAATGTCACTTGGGGGGGAAATATTAAAGACCTCCTATATTTTAGCGATGGAATACATTCTATACAGTGAAAAAAGCTAGACCTCTTAAGTTACTTAAAGGGATTTGGATCCTCTCATGTTTAAAAGATGTCGTGTAATCATGTTGTTTGATCACAATCACTTATTTAAAAATCATATACATTTTTCTCTCTTATCTCATCATTAATTAGTAGTTGTGATTAAATAACATGACCACATGACCATTTTTAAACATGAGAGGATCCAAATCCTACATTAAGAGTTATAAACGTGTCTTTGTTTATTTAATTGATTTTTTCTGATGAATTTCAAAATATTGAAGGACTTCTAGTAGTGCCCAAGATAACAACTTCCAAATCAATGCTCTTGACGAGTGGTTATATGAAGTCCATCTAAGGAGCAAATTCGATATCAAAGGGAAAAGCACCAGATCAATCCTCTTGCTCAAATTATTCCAATCCACATGCAAGAAAACTAGTTACTAGTTAGGAACTCAGCTTTAACTTTGTCCAAAGTCTCTCACAGATTCTCCTGGCTACATTAAATATTCTCAAAAATATATACCAAATGATGGTAGCTCAGTTGGCGTCAGGACCTGAGCAAGTGGGGGTGAGAGCATGTGTTCGATCATTCCCAGTACCGTTTTTGGGAGGGGTTTAAAGTCTTAATCCTAGGACCCGCCCCGAATCAGACTAGTCACGAAACGATAAGCCGATTGAAATATCTAAAAATAAAAAATCTCAAAAATCAGAATCAAGAACAAGAACAAGAACAAGAACAAGGAGAAGTGATGTGAAGATACTATTCAAGGAATCCTTGATCTATTTAGTTTTATGGTTTGTATAAGTTGTGTTGTTGTAAATAGTGTCATAGAAGTCCCACATTGTGTATATGTGTTTATATTTCTTATTTGGTTTAATATATAAATGAAATCTCCTTCGTGTAGTTGACACAAGGATTACAATGAATACCTCTTGTATTTTGACAGTTAACATGGTATCTAGAGCCTAACAAGAGGAATCCGAATTCGCGTTTTTCCGGTGGACCATTGTCCGCTGAGTAATTTTTTTTCTTTTTTCTGAAAACAGTCATATCTGTCAGTTTTCGGCTTCCATATATTGTCTAAGGACCTATCTGATCACTGTCACTGTCAGGAACCACCGTTGACCACCGTCCGCCTGACCGCCGTCTCCGACGACTTTTCTGGCGAACCACCCACCGTTATGATCGCCACGAAGATGCGGTCCTCTCTGTCCAAGACCCACCTGCAGATTCTCATCCACGCGCTTTCACGCACGTGAGACAGCAGCTGCAGCCCGTCTTCTTGCAGCGGCGCGTGACGCTAAGGCTTGCCGTCGGACCACCACGGTTCACCTCGTCTTCTCCTTGCGCACTTGGATCTGTCCTCACTTTGTGGTTTTGACTTCGTTACGGATTACCACAACGTTTGTTCCCTTGTTGTTTACTATTCACGCGTGTCTCTTTGCTTCCATTACTGTTCATCTTTGTTTCAGGTGACCTATAGCTGATTCGTCACCCCGCGATGCATCCAAGGGTTCTCAATAGAATGACGCACCTGTTTTTACTAATTATGTTAATGTTCCGCTGCACGTCGACAAGTTGAATGGCTCCAATTATGATTCTTGGGCTGCTGACTCCGACTTTGGCTTGATGGACAGGATTATGCTGACCATCTCATTACTAAGGCTGAGTCCATCCCGGTAGATGAACGCCCTCGATGGAAAAAGGTTGATGCTCAGTTATGTAGCATCATCAAGTCTACCATCCACCCGTCATTGAAGCAGATCTTCCTTGCTCACGTCACT